GGGTGTCGAGGCTTGAGGACTGATTTGGAGATTCCTGAAGATGTCGGCACCATGTGACGAGCAGATGCTGCACGCAAAACCGATGCATGACGAACGGAGTCATCAGTCCTAAGCGCTGGGCCTACAAGGAGAGAGTTATTAATGGGGTGGGGAGAGGGGGAAGAAAAGGTATGTGAAAAAGAAAGAAGGGAGGCGTCAGCAGTAGCATGTTTTCGCTCACCCGCCCTGCTGTTTGCAGCAAGTAAGGCGAACCAGCGACGGCGGATGTGGAAATTCATGGTTGTACGTGGGCTGGGATACTGCCAGGGCGCCCACACCTAGACAGGAGGACCATTCCTCAACTCAACCAAAGCCTTTGTCTCAAAAGCCTAACCGCAAGGCAGCGGTGTTTGGCCGGAAATGCAAATGCATTACCATTTCTACAAGTCGCCACTACGCAAACCGTCACCCCCCGGTAAGGTCTCTTCTTGACGGAACTTAAGGCTAAAGCATCTGTACTCAGATAGGCTTCGAGTTGGATGGAAATTTCGATGAATACGTTTTGGCAAACGATATACAAATCTACGAATAGTGTGGAGAGAAACTATCCAGCTCACCGAGTAATTAAGCCTTGCTCCTTGAACCAACCATTATAAATTCAGGCTCCATATTGAGATGTAAGGATACGAAATCAGCCAAAGAAGACAGATCAATTTGCCAAAAGTGTTTTGCAATTTTCGCGGGTTTCGTATACTGATGTGGGTTTCTCACGGAAAGAGTCTATTCCTCAGACGGGGACGATACTGAGCTTTATTCGGAGAGATTACTGTGCTCGCTGTCGTTGCTCCACAGATTGATGCAGACATTTCGTTCTCCGTTCAACCGACTGCTGGGAAGTTTACCTTAATGCTCCGTTTTATTCTGTTCGTGTTCACATCGTGGTTTTGCCGTTGACCTCGGATGCATTGTACTTGAATGAGGGAGAAGGAAGTGTGATTATATCTGGTTCACCTCCAAACCTTGGTTAAACATTTGTGTTTCGGTGTCCCCAACGGCGTTAAGCTTGTACCTCGCTTGCCATGACTATTCGTCCACGTGTTGACGTAGTTGTTGGGCCTGCCAAACGTTCATGATGACCTTTGGACATGAACTGTGAGCGAAACGCTACACATAGGTGTTGTAACTATGCCTCACACGTCTATCGATTGTTTTGCTGTCACACTGTCAAGCGAGAAACTATCGTATCGTAAAGTGGGTACTGCGGATCGAGACGCTGCCGTGTTGAGATCATATTTTCCGACCAGCTTTTCACTCAAACAATGAATGGAAGCCCTCGTTAAGCCCCCTAATTTAGAAATCAACAGTAACGTTCCTTCCGGTTAAATTAACTATCGCTTGTCCACCGCGGAGTGGAATCCCAGGTCATGGAAGTTGTCCGTGGAATGCTGTGACATGACAATAACGGATCCAGTGATCTCTACCATCCAACTGTCACTTTTTATCACCGAACGTCAATATCTACCGCTTTTGTCCTCTGAGATCCGACTTGATTTCTTGACTCGATGGTTTAAATGCATCCAAAACCAGCCAATGGGTATTTCTCATATTCATGTGTTTCAAACATGGGCTACCTCGGATCACTTACTGAACAGGTCTATTTATCGAATTTGACTTGAGGGACGGTTCACATACTCGAAGTACTTGTTTTCTGGTTGTGTACAGCTTCAATCAATTTCCGCCCCAATATCCCTGGGGTTTATTTGGAATCTTAACCAGTAAAGTGCAAATCCATGCAGGCATAAATGATTTTACTACTCACCAGCAAACGACACTGTACTATTGTGAGCATGACCGGTCAGTAAGCGCAAATGGGGCTCCCGCATACCGCGATTTTGACTCCAGAGATACACTTGTTGCACCAATGAACATCGCGCACCTCGAATGCAGTTCGGGATCAGATATCGGTCAGATCGACTACGTGGCTTTAGTAGCGTCTCGTACTCTTTGTCAGACTACGTGATATTTTAGGATATTCCTGCGCGATTGATGGAATTTCGGTAGACATTCTCACCGATAGGAGTTGGGAACGTGACTTCTCCAACTTGAACCCGAGTGGTGCAAATCAGGAAGAACGAGCGTCCTTAATGGTGTTTGGCGCACTATATCCTACAGCCTGCTTCGCAAAACTCAATTAATGAAGTTTTAAGACCAAACACAAATGTGTTACCATTACATAACTCGAAGTGAGATGCGCACGTTTGGCGGTCGGGGTTTAAGGCTATTCCCGGGCCTCTTTTCTTGTCTTTGTTTGGTTGGGTGGCTTGCCCTCCTAGAAAAGATCCGAAAACACCAGCTGTAGGTAGTGATCAGGAAACGGGACTATATGTCTAAATATCGGCAGGTCGGGTGCGTTTACTATTTGTTGATCTGTTACCTATTGATCTGCTCGCAGAGGTCAACGATCGGTTTGCTAACATTCCAGGAGCCATCATCAGTGCGTACACTGATTACCCAATCAACAACCAGGAAATGGCACTAGAACCTCCGAAAACTTGTATGTAAAGCCGATGTTTTGTCCATATGTCTAGGAAGTGGGTTTCTATATTTTTCAGGTGCTGAGCCTTACAAAGAGCTTCTCAGTCAACTCTTTCACGTGTTTTGTTTCAATCTAGCTTCAGCTACCTTGACCAATGGTACAGTTAGTCTACTGACTTTTGTTCTTTGCTCGTAATAAACAGGTCCAGTTTGACTAGCAATTCTTTATCCTGTTTCCTGTCTTCTTTCAGATACTTTCAAGGTTTCGATTGGGCCGCCATTGCTAAGCAGACACTAGCCACTCCATTCAAAGTCAAGGTAGGTTGCTCGTATTTTCCTCCACTACTGTACCCCACTCATTTTCCCCGTTATGCTAGTCGAACGTATCTTGCAAAGACCGAATGGGCCAACTGCGTGTTGTGCTGACTGTATTTCCTTGATATAATGGTATTTGAGTCTATAAGGATGGTGGACAAACGCGATGATCAGCTGGAAGACTTTCAGTTAGGTTCGCGCTGTTTATTGGGCGACAGGGTTGTTTAAGCGAACTTCTGGATCCCGGGTAAAATCCTTAATTCCTCTCCGTATTGACCGCGAAAACGTCGTAACAACAGTGAGGAACATTCTTCTACGACCCTTTGCAGCAGTGCGCAAACTTTGGTGTTTACACACTGAGTCGGAGCACTTGACGAAACAAAAGTTAAGACGCTCGCACTAACATTCCGCACTCGTTCTTGACAGGATGGCTCTCCGCCCAACGGTTTGAAGAGGGCGATTTCCTATTGTCGCAGTGTTCGTTACTTGGACCCCTCATTTTATCATCATGGTGAATTTCACCATTAGAACCTACCCTGGTGGCTAGAAGACAATAGAATGAATGCACTGTACAATGTTTCTCGAGTTTGTAGTGCTGACATACTCTACTCGCACCAGTGTGTGAGTAAACGAGCTTTCACTCTACCCTATTACCATTAACGGTTAGTGTGGCCGGGTTCCCGCTGTACTTGAATATTTTACTTTAAAAGGTGTTGTCTGCGTAACCTCCTGCACGCCATGCACCCTTTTTGAGTGGACCATGCTGTTGTGTAGTTGGCATTGCCTAAGTCTTCGTCAATAAATTTGCGTGGTCATTCCAACAACGCTCAACAGCTTTCGTGGGCCTGGAAAGAACTCTGAATTCGTGAAAAAACTCTTCTTGGTCTTAAGCTATTCATGAATAGGGAGAGTTGAAATCCGCGAAATAGCCACATCTCTTTGGCTGCTTCATTAAGTTCTTATCAGGATAATAGTCTCTACCAAGCGGGCTCTCTTGGAATGGTGGTTCTGGTGAAGCACAACCGCTTTAGTGTGGATACCCCCGAGCGATACCGCATCTTTTGTTGTTCGGCCTCCCAAAATCCACTGAACCGTCCTCTACTTTGAACCCCCTGATGGAACCGAAATTTAGCCGATATAAATTAAAACTAACAAAGGCCACCTATTCATCCAGTTGTCTTTTCATTTGCTTGTGAAACAAGACAGGAGCGAGTTCGGTAGATTCCCCTGTTACCTTTTTCCTTCGCTTATTACATGAAAGTACTTTTATTAATGTCCGCTTATTTTTCTGTAAATCAGATGTACACTATTACTCGGATACTAGTACTGTTTGAAGAACGCGATCGTACGGAGCTTTGTCGTACCAAGCAGATATGAAAAGTGTTCAACCAAAGAGATTGAAAGACTGTCTGCAGTGTTTTGTGGCGAACCACGATTAATCACCGTGGAAGAAGCAGCATCATAAAAAACTGGATGGAATTAGGGGACGTACTGAAGTTTCAAACCTACTCAAGTACTACCTTCATGGTGAGAGAAAGCTAGTTTAGTTAGATTCCGACAATCCGACCACCATGGATTCACGGAGATCAGCTCTACCCTGGTTTTTGAGTTACCAGTTACGGAAGGCTTCCTTTAAAAAACTGGATGGAATTAGGGGACGTACTGAAGTTTCAAACCTACTCAAGTACTACCTTCATGGTGAGAGAAAGCTAGTTTAGTTAGATTCCGACAATCCGACCACCATGGATTCACGGAGATCAGCTCTACCCCGGTTTTTGAGTTACGGATAGGCTTCCTTTTAAAGATATCTTTTTTTTCGGAAACAGGTCAGAAATTAGGCGGTTTACTTAGGTTTCCTCCACATGTTATAAGCCTAATCGTGCAATAGAAAGAACTATTCCGAAGGATGTTACTTAGCGTGAAAGTCCATCATATCTGACGTTTTACGTTACCGATCTACACGTTTGCTCTGTGGTTAATGCACCTATGACGTGAACCGGTCTTATTAGGGGCGCTTCTTGGTGTGGTGTTCACTACATCTCGTGAGAAGGTGTGCGTATGTTCATTTAAGAGCGCGCGTTCGACAAAACTGACCATGTATAATCTGGGCTCTGTCACACGTGACAAGGCATTGTCCAGTTGCTCTACAGGTCGAAAGTGATTACATCAACTTCACTCAGTCAGCGGTAGCTGTCCTTTAAACAGTAGATGAGGGCGATTACAGTGTGCGTCAGAAAAACTTGTCAAATAATTTCACCGTCAAATCATTAGCTTGTTTCACCTTAAATAAATCGTGAATTCGCGTATCTGTTCGCGGAGATGCGCCTTGGAAGCCTGAAAGGTATCGACATCGTTTTTGCAATCTCCGCTTTCAGACTACTATGATATAGTCAGTAGGATCGCTGGTCATTTCCCATGGCACCGTGTTTCTGACGAACTAAGGAACAATTTCCGGTTTTGTCCAATGAATGGGCTTTATATTACTTTGGGTCTTTGAGTGAAATCACCTGATAATAGAGGCCCCAATGCCTGAACTGTTCTTCTTCCGCTAACGAGATTCATAATGGAATTTGAATAATTACACGGTGTCGAGCTCTCCTATAGCCTCAGAAAGAAATTGATCACCTCCACAAAACCAAACTTAGCACACAAAACGTTTCCACAAATCGGGTATCCTCAAATCAAACCGATTGGACCATATGCGATTGATTGCTTGCTTTGTTGTCCTTACTCGAAACACTCATGCACGTACACTCTCCGGTTGTCTTTCAGTTGAATGGACCTTTGGACTATTCCAACTTCGATCGGTTCACAATGGATGAACAGGAACCGCCGGATGAATTATCGGGATGGGATGCTGACTTTTAATGGTGATGTACGATGACAATCTCACTCCTCCCATACGGTGGTTGGTCTCCTTGATAACTGCAACATCCCCACAGGACTTAACTGCTGCTGACTAGTTCTTTCATGGTCATGTATAAATATATCCCTCGCCCTTTTGACACTCATAGTTCGATTTCGATTTTATGTACTTACAGGATTATGGGGCTGTGCAAGCTTCGTTTTTTTTTTGCTCGAAGCCCACCCCCATACGCACACATTGCAAAGTGCTTCCAGTCTGCTGCGTTACAAATCTTATTGAGCACCCGATTATCTTTGTACAACGAGATTTTGCCAACCCACAGTACATAGGTCTCTGAAGCAGTTCCGTGTACGACAGTCCACGGTGTCAAGCGCACTCTGGTCAACAAACCCCTATTTTGCGCCACTCTCTTATTCTGTGATTTATCGCCATGTTCCTCTGTTATTTTTCTTGTTGTACAGAAGACCTGGTTGTGATCCGTGCCGTTCATTTCTCGCCCCTGGCGTAATACTTAGCCTCACGCCTCTCAATTCACGTGATCAACCGGGTACAGCAGCATTACTGAGAAGCGTTGTCCCGACTGCTTCGACCACCCCCTCTTCTAGATATTGTTTGCCTTTCCAGATTATTCAGTCTGGTACAAGACATCTTCCTGTTACTCTCAGATTGAGTCACATTATTCTTGTTTTACTCGTTCCATTTTGCTTCACCGTTATTCGCCTGCTGATACGATAGAGTTGTGAGCGTATTGTGCTCACAGCTGCCAAAATGTCATATTCTCATTTTGACCATTCTTGTTCCTGAAGTCATGGTTGTTGAAAAAAATCGCTAAACACGATGCAGGAGGATTACGCGGTTCGGTTCTGTGAAGGTTTTTGGATAGGTGAATACCTCTGTTTGGTGGTCTTCAAAGGGATGTGTCCTAGCTCTGGTTCCTGATACAAACTGATCTCCGTTATGAACACAGTCAAAGGAGACGGATTTTTCTGTCTGCACTTCCTTTTGCCTATGTTCAAATGGCCAGTAGTAGGTTTCCTGACGAACGTTTCCCAGGCGACAAGGGCTACTAATCTACAACTGCAGGCATGTGTACACACACATGGGAATAAAAGTCCCATTAGATTGAGATCCAGTTAGTAATCCAAGAGGTGCGCGAAAGCCAATTACAAGCGGTGTTTGAAGTGAGACACCGCTCTTAGTTGAGGATTGACTGACCTTACTGTCTCCCATCTATGTGGAATCCAATGATTCCTGGGGCTGGCGTTTACTCAACAAACATCGCCATCAGTGTCTCATGTTACTTTGAAGTCATTATAGTGTTCACCGAAGCCATTCGATGTAGGTGTGAACCAGTTATTGATTTGTCTACTCTGACGTCGTCGGTGGTATTCACGAGTTACAGCCACGTCTTTAATATGAACATCGTGGGTGCGTGAGGACCATGCTTCATATTTGCAGCTCTCAAGCTGTGGGACTCAGGCCAGGATGTAGAAGAACTGATGGTTACAACTCATGAATCTCGTTAAGAACTGACCACTTATGGCTTATTCACTGTTTCACGTCAGCCACAACATACCACCTCGTGTAAAATGGATGCAACGTCTTCTACTTGCTATTAGGGGAGATTTTGTCCTCAAAGGTGTGTTCTCGGAGGCGATCTCTGTGGTTTTCGTGACCTCTCGACAAAAAGATTAAGCCTCTTAAGTGTCTCCGGGACACACTCATATCTTTACCATATCTGGTTAAAGTTTCAAACCAATGGCTTGAACATTACCAACTCATCAGGTAGAACGGATTGCTATTCGGTCACATTGTCCTCTCAGTAGAGCACACTGGCGAAACGGGCCAAAATAATACCGTTGTAGATGTGCGTACTTTGTGGGAAATGTGAAATCAAGTCATCCAAAAAATGCACTCAATTCCCAAAAAGCAGAATTTAGCTACATTTGGTGGAAAATGGTTTTTTAAACACCTGACTATTTTCTGCTAACAGAAATTTGCAAAAGACCCCAGCAGCTACTAAATTGGCGGGGGCCTCTCCACAATGTGTGTTTTGTATCCAGTGTGTGCTGACAAAAGTTAGTGCACACTAACGTCTGAAGAAGTTTCCCGGTTTTATCGGCTTACAGTTATTTGATTCAAGGAGTTATGATAGTGAACAGTGATCCCCAAAAGGCCTGAAATGTGGACAGGCTTAACAATCTGACCCAGACAATACAAGGTACTTCCATATATATATATATATATATATATATATACATTATACGCCAGTACTCTACAACGTCCAGGTACCCCGGACTTACCTATATGATAAATACCATCCTGCACCGCCAAACTAATGATTGTAGCACAATCGAGCCCGACTGTTCGTCCAAGAAACTGTCGTCTCGATAAGTCGGTAAAAGTAATTGGGTTTCTTCGCTTTGTAAAAAGCCATTGTGTAAGCAAACTATTCCTCGCAGACCCCTGGAAAACCTCGCCTAATCTCATATTGACAAAAATATACATAGATGAAACCAGTATGTGTACGAGTCGCCGGACCCAAATCACATGCGAGTTTTAAAACACAAAGTACCATCTTGCCCTGACAGGGATCCATAGGGTAAAAGTTGATCAAAATACGCCATAGTAGCCTGATACGAAACGCAGAACATCCCTATGAAGAAGGTCTAGCTATTCATCCACAATCAGCACATGTCAGCCAAAGTGATGGCCACCAAATATCTGCCATCTGGACAGCATCGGTCAACAGTAATAAGAAAAATGAGGGTGGACATGTTGCACCCTCAACCTCCGCACAAACCACCTGTCCAAACTTGAACTGTAGGGAATCGACTGTGCCACGTTGGGCACATTTTTTCTGGTCTATCTGGTTTCGCTCAATTTGCCCCCAATAAGGGTTGCTGTGAACACGGAGACAAGCTACAGATGCGCTGGTTTGTCAAGTGATACAATTCACTAGTTACCTAAATCGGTGCTACCTACAGGATAATGTTCTCCATCTGACAAGAAGATGATATCAGTACTCCCTCATAGGTTCAGCCCAAGTGGTTTGAGTCAAGGATACAATGATTTACATCGTGAACCAACAGTACAGTATGGTACCAGCGATGATTCTTCGTGGGGCATTGAATGACCGACAGTTTTCTAAGTATACGGATGTGCTGGCCTCAACAAGAGGGGTTATTCGTCCCCAACTGGAGTGGAGGGTATCTTTCAGGACATTAGTGTATGCCCCAGTCCCTCGTAATGACATATTCCAAAATAGGTGACAAGAAAAAATAAATTCACTTTGACCCAACAGGCCATAGCAAACAACTTAGCACCAAGGCCAGGGAGAAGTTCGGCCACGACTGAGTCCTCAAAAACAGAAATATTACTGAAGCTTTTTCAATCAAAAGCATTGAATACGGGGGACCCTAATAACATGCATTGCCTGTTTTGTTGTTTGATTTGGTGTAGGAGCCCTGGTTGTCCACCTGAGAGGATTCTTCACTAATGTATAAAGCGACTTGGTTATCCCGAGCTGCGACTAAACAACCCTCTAGCGAGTTACTTTAGAAAAAGCAGTCCTGTACACATTCTGTGGTATCGGTTTACACAAACCTTAGGTACAGTACCGCTTACGAAAGAAAGTAAACAATATCAGACTGAATTCGGATACAGTCCGAACATTCTGCTGGGGGACTTCACAACGGGACCTCCATTAGGGTTTTGAACATCCTGTTCATATCCCACTGGTTTGGAGTGGCTGAGTACTCATCGACCTCGTTATGGCAGCTAAGCAAGGAATGCACCTGATCCGAAATGGCATCGTGCTAACCCGACCAGCCGGTGGTATGGTATCTGGACGCCCCTACCCCCCAAAGGCAGTAGTGAGGAGTTCACTAGTGATCAAGACACATGGTCCCGCCAACCGCACAAATGCGGCCTGCTGTTGGCCTCAAGATTCCGCTCCCCAAATGCAGACATGCCAGGACAGAAGAGCATGGGCTGTAGTTCAAACGTGACGATTAGCTCTAAACGTTCTCTGATGTTGACATCACACGCGTAAACATTCTCCACCGTGCCAAACAGAAGACGCATGTCACACTCAACCCATTTTGTAACTTAACCAACGCATTTTTACTTATCTTTGTTGCCCGCTACAAAGTGCACATGAATATACCGTTTCGATAAACGGAAATGTCCGTTCCAAATAGTTAGTTGACGATAATCAGGCTGGTTTCTAAAGTAGATAACCCATTCAACAGTGGGCATAGTTTAACTTCCAGACCCTCAGATGGTACTCACAATGCTTGGAAATTCCGTGGTATATGATACTGTGTAACCAACAAGCTAGATATACTCAGACAAACGCGCATTTGCAAGTTAATTTGGTTGTGACTGGAAGCCCAGTTGAAATCCACCAGAATCTCGTTTATGTTTTTTTTCCAACCAAATTAACTGCACAGGGACATCTCGTGATCCACGTGGAACGATATTCACAGTTTCAAGGTCTTTCCGACACCCCATATCAAAATCAATGAAAACTTGGGATAATCCAGGTAGATCTAGTAGTCGAACACCCATCAAAATCGCTTATCAATTGAACGGGAAGATGCTGAAGAACGAAGTGTGTCAACCACAGTAAACCGATTTATTGGTGAACAGGTAATCTCGTGGGCGTCCTGATGACAAGATTGGTTATCTGTGGATTCTAAACGAGGTTGATATGATCGATGCAGCCAGGGGGAAGTGTTGTTCGTTAGTAAACAGTGTTTCCATTCTGATTCATGTGTAATTCATGAAACACTAGGTTCCATAAGACAAAGAACATGATAACTCGTTTTTTTCCTGAGGAGATGAGTATATTGCATGCATATCTTCAACAGAGGAGATCTACTACCAAAGTCACTCAATACAACTATGCGGAGTTCATGATAACCAATCCCATTGAAATGGAAGATATTCTTAGGCTTCTGGTGTTCACAGGACCGATAATTGACCCACTGAGAACTCCTGGGCATTCTCTTCTTCGCCCAGTATTTTAGACAGTGGCAAATGATAGTCGTATTTTCTCGCTGGCAACATTTTCTCAATTCCGTATGACGAATTTTACCCTTCTTTCTATTAGCCCTAGTGTTTCGGTGACGGACCAGACTGAACACACAGTGGATATGGTTTACCTCATAGGGAGGATGCTAATTCTCTGGAATTAAAGGTTGTTAAATGTAAGTATGACGACATTACATAGGTCTTAGCATGTTCAGTCCCTTCTAAATAATCCAACCCTGCGAAAAAGTTGTACATCCTATTCTTAGGAACGAATTTACGCGTGCGCACGTGTAAGAGCATACACTCATTGGCATGTATGTCTTTGCCGCGTTCACTTACGCAGTGCACTCGGAACGTCAGGTACAAAATGAAGCGAAACACTGAGCGCATAAAAGCTGAACTCTCACCGGTAATAATACGCGCGTTTTACGATTCAGCATGAGGGCTCGCAGTGGACTACTATCCTCAAATAGGGAGACTGAGGTTTCCTTTTAATGAACGTTGTTCCTCCGAACTTTGTCAACAAATGAAATCACTCTAACGTTTAGCCTTTGATACTATCAAATGTCATGCCTAAGTTCAATTCATGTGGATATTGTAACCCCGTTAAATGAAGAGGTTGACTGGACTCACTTTGTATTTGTTCTGGGGATCAGAATGATACAGATGAATAAGTGTCATACAAAACACTTAGGCACGTTCCCTCTGCTGACTCGCCAGTCTGTTGTATCTGGTGCTGGCACAACTCCAGCGCCTAATGCCGGAAAAAAAGACACAAAAAGGAACACAACAGCCATATTCCGAACAAGCGAGTGCGGGTGTGGGAGCGTGAGTGCATGCGAGTGCAAA